ATCCACCAGAATGTGATTAAAGACCAAAACATTTGGGAGATAAAAGCCAACCTATCTCATACTTGGTTAATCAAACAACTCCTCAAGTTAAGGCTGATATCATCGCAATGGTTACGGATAACCCCAGGTAATGGTCAGAAGTGCTTGTTTTGGACTACCCCGTGGTCTCCATTGGGAATTCTGATAAAGTACATAGGCTGGAGAGGACCTCGGCAAACAGGTATCCCCTGATCGGCTACTCTTGCTAGTCTTTGGAATGGTAATGCCTGGAACATCTCCCCTGCGAGATCAAGTGAAACTGTGCAGGTCCAAATCCAGCTTACCACCATCAATTTATTAGATCATGAAGATCTTCCTAGTTGGTCAATCAATGGAGTAACAAAACAAGACTTCTGAGATATATGACGACATGAGAGAGCATAAGGCGTTAGTCCCTTGGAGTAATGTGGTCTGGCTTAAGAAAGGAATTCCAAAACAGAAACTACTAACCTGGCTTTTCGTTTTGAACCGTTGCCCTACTAGGGATCGGCTAATCTCATGGGGAATCAGCATAGATCCGGCTTGTCTACTTTGCAATGATGAAGCGGAATCGAGAAATCACCTTTTCTTTGAGTGTGATTTCACTCGCTCAATCTGGTGGCGTCTCAGTCACAAACTAAGACTGCCTTGGACCTCTGGTTCATGGGACACAACTCTTCAGATCCTCATCTCCTTTAAGGGTACTCAAAACCACCGGTTTCTTATTCTCTTGGCTTGGCAATCTCTGATCTATGAAACATGGCGAGAAAGAAATAATAGGCTTCATCGACATATTGCACAACCATCCGAAATCGCAGCTCATCCTTCAGACAACATAACCCAGAGATCGGATCTGCGTGTATGCAGCTCTGGTTTGCTCTAGCGTGACTGATCATCTTCTTCCCGACTATGGATACAACCATCGACATTACCACTTGATTTGGGCTTCGTAATGGGCCTTTCATGTGGGTTTTTAACTAGAGTCGTAAACTTTTCCTACCGTAAGGGATAATTGG